TTATTTAAATATATTATATAAAATTTACATATAAGTGAATCTATTTTAATATTTTTTAAGATTATATTAGTTATTGACTATTTAATAATATGTGGTTAAACATAAATTTATTTAGATATTTAAAAAAAAGTACTTAAATATAAAATACTTAAATTATCAATTAAACCACGGATAAAAATCTAATATCAATAAAATAATAAAAGAAACTTTATATATGCATAAAAATTGAAAAATAGTTTCATAAAAAGAAAAAGAAAAAAAGAAAAATGGTTTGTACCTAAAGAAAGAGAAAGGAAAAGAAAAATAGGAAGTGGCTTAAGGATATGGTTCCAGGCGGCCGCACCAGCACGAGCGGGAAGGTCTGATCGGGCGGGATTCATGACATAAATGGAGAGAGTTAGGGAATCATCTTCTGTCTGTTAAATTTTAGAACTCTCTGGACACTCTCCCTCGCCACCTCCGCCTATAAAACACCATCATCCTATCCCTTCTTATCTGCAACGGAATTAGCTATAGCAATTATGTCTGTTTCCACTGATCTGCATATTGTCTGTATCGCCTTCTTGTGTGCTAATTTGCCATGGATGATGATTTCGAGTTCCCAACATCCAGCAACTTGGATGAGGAGATGGACATCCCGGAGGAGGACCCAGTTAGCCCCATTCTGAAGGTTGGTGAGGAGAAGGAGATTGGCAAGAATGGACTCAAGAAGAAGCTGGTCAAGGAGGGTGAGGGATGGGAGACCCCAGGCACCGGTGATGAAGTGGAAGGTATTGCCTCGCTCCTTTATGCCTTTGATCGGTTGATTTTTGCTTGTTAGCATCTTGTCTTGATGGGTTTTTGTTTCTTTGTCAGTGCATTACACTGGCACCTTGCTCGACGGAACCAAGTTTGATTCCAGCCGGGATAGGGGGACGCCTTTCAAGTTCAAGCTTGGCCAAGGTAATTTACTGTCCTGTTAGATTTTGAATCTCTGCTATTTTCACGGCGATTCCTTCTGGAAATCTGCTTTTGAATGAACTATAACAGAATCATGATCCAGAAAGTCTAGAACTTTCTGAAGTTTCTTATTGCTTCTGTAAACATGGGAATTCTAAAGTCGAACAGGTCCTGGTTAGACATCTGTGAAGTTCTAAATATACTTGCTTAATTTTTTGCCTCCTTAAATTTCAGGACAAGTAATCAAGGGCTGGGATGAGGGTATTAAAACAATGAAGAAGGGAGAAAATGCCATTTTCACTATCCCTCCAGAATTGGCATATGGAGAATCAGGGTCACCTCCAACGATTCCTCCTAATGCGACTCTTCAGTTTGATGTGGAGTTGCTTTCTTGGACTAGTGTCAAAGACATCTGCAAAGATGGAGGAATCTTTAAGAAGATACTTGTTGAAGGGGAGAAATGGGAGAATCCAAAAGATTTGGATGAAGTATTTGGTATGTTATCGACTCATTTCTTTTATGAACAATTGATTTGAAAGTGTTAAATCTGTTTTCTATTTTCTAACAATATTTCACTGTATTTATTTATTACAGTTAAGTATGAAGCCCGCTTGGAAGACGGCAGACTTGTTTCAAGATCAGAAGGGGTGGAGTTCACTGTTGGAGAGGGTATGTATCATGTCTCTTTACATTCTTCTCTTACATTGAATTACGGATGTGGGCTGAAATATAACGTAGTGGTTTGCTGTTTACAGGGTACTTCTGTCCTGCCTTGGCAAAAGCAGTGAAGACCATGAAGAAAGGAGAAAAAGTACTGTTGACAGTGAAGCCTAAATGTGAGTTTAGCTCTTTTTTTGTTAACAATCTTGGATTGTTTTAATGTTTGAATATCCGACTGACTACTGCTTGCTTGCAGATGCATTTGGTGAGAATGGTGGGCCAGGGATAGGTGATGAAGCTGCTGTTCCTCCAAATGCTACCCTCCAGATAACACTTGAGTTGGTCTCTTGGAAAACTGTTTCTGATGTTACAAAGGATATGAAGGTCCTGAAGAAGATCTTGAAGGAGGGGGAAGGTTATGATCGGCCCAATGATGGGACTGTGGTGCAAGGTGTGACTTATGGCATAGAACATCAATTTTCGTTTTCAGTTTGTAACTGATTTAACTGTTTGCTTGACAAGAATGAGACTTTCTCCTCACTCTGTGCAGTTAAACTAATTGGGAAGCTGGACGAGGGGACAATTTTTGTGAAGAAAGGTCATGATGAAGAGCCCTTTGAGTTTAAAGTAGATGAAGGTAAGGATAGTTTCTGGATTGCTAGTGTTTTATTATATACTTCCCCTTCTTTCCATGCCCTGTCCTTCAGACCTTTTGAATTGAGATACACCCTGGTTTATTATCATCTTTTCTAAATAGTGTAATCATGAAAATGACCCTTTTGGTGCAGAGCAAGTCATTGATGGACTAGATAGAGCTGTTAAAATGATGAAGAAAGGGGAAGTTGCTCTTGTCACCATCCAGCCAGAGTATGCATTTGGTGCAACTGAATCACCCCAGGAATTGGCTGTTGTTCCTGCCAATTCAACGGTGTACTATGAGATTGAGATGGTCTCATTTGTCAAGGTTAGCATGCTTTATTCTCACTTGCCTGTTTATTCCCTTGGTGCCTTTATGCGGGATTTGTGATACATGACTTCATTGGAGATTATCTAACCAGTAAACAATTGATTGCCAGGAGAAGGAATCTTGGGAAATGAATACCCAGGAGAAGATTGAAGCTGCAGGCAAAAAGAAAGAAGAAGGCAATGTTTTATTTAAGGCTGGTAAATACGAGAGAGCCTCGAAAAGATATGAGAAGGTATAACCGTGACAGGCTTTTAATTGATACACTGACGTAGATTTTTCTTCTTGTGATCCGAACAAATGATCAATTGTACCTTTCTCTGCAGGCTGTGAAGTTCATAGAGTATGATTCTGCTTTCAGTGATGAGGAGAAGCAGCAAGCCAAGTTATTAAAAACAACTTGCAACCTTAACAATGCTGCTTGCAAACTGAAACTTAAAGACTACAAGCAGGCCAAGAAGCTATGCACCAAGGTTTTGACTTGTTAATGCCACATAGAACTTGTTTTGAGGAATAAAATTTATCTGTTATAATCATATGCTGACAGGCATGTTTTTTTGATAATGTAGGTTTTAGAACTTGACAGTAGAAATGTAAAGGCTCTGTACAGGAGGGCGCAAGCATGTATTAACCTTGTTGATTTGGACTTGGCAGAGCACGATATCAAAAAGGCACTTGAGATTGACCCTGATAACAGGTAGTTTCATTTTCCCTATATCAGTTTTGTGGTGTCTTGCTATACATTGTGTAGAGTTGGTGTCCTTTTTTTGGGAAACGCAGCATTATTGAACCATCATCATATGTATCTTCATGCACCAGTGATTTATTTGTCGAAATGTTTTGATTGCCTTTATAATACAATTCTTTGTCAATATTATTTTGTGGTATTTCAATCTTAGTTTAACATGTCTTTAATACCAGGGATGTGAAAGCAGAGTACAAGGTTCTCAAAGAGAAAGTTAAGGAGTACAACAAAAAGGATGCACAATTTTATGGCAGCATATTTGCGAAGATGAACAAGTTAGAGCAAGCAAGAGCCAGAAAGCAAGAGGCAGTGCCAATGGCAATAGACAGCAAGGCATGATAGCATCAACCCCCTACCCCTTTCTGTCCTCCTTCCCCTCTCCTTGTTCTCATCCTTTTGTCAACGTCATATAAGAATGAAGTTGGTGCATGAGTTAAAAGCTGATCAGTTAGTGTGGAATATTATGTACCATGAATTACTACCTAATAGCATCTCTAAATGATAAAAGAATCTGTGTCTTTTTTGGACTCTAAGCAAGCAGGTTTGCAATTGCTGATAGTATTGGTATGCGTCATTCTAATAGTTTCAATGATGACAAATCTTAAATTTGCAAATGGTTGCCCCCATCAGCTCCTTGGATGCATAATTTAAAAACTTTATACTATGGAACAGATAGCGTTTAGTTTGTGTGCAAACTCGTAAAATAAACTTTGAACCATAGTCTACTTTATATCAGGATAAATTTCTAAAGTAATTTTAATTTAGAAGTAGGTAAAATGTTTATGATAGATAATTGTGGGATGGATGCTAACTTTCAACAGATACCGTCCTTCCCTCCCCCTCCTCTCCCCCATATTTGGATATATTAAAGTATATTAGAATTTTATCAAAGGTCTAAAATAGACAAATAATTAAATATAAAGTACTTATTAATTTTAATTAAATAAATATTAAAACTAAAAAATAACAATAAGCAAAATCTTTTTTTTTTTAATTTTAATTAATGATTTTTATTTTAATACTTGAACATAATTCAAA